TGGAAATTGTTCAATAAAATACTGCTCTGGAGAGACCTGTGAACTCTAAATCCAAGCATCCTTGACCACCCATGTTCCCCTGCTTTCCTAAAGCTGTTACCTTGACTGCTTTGTATGCAATAGCATACAAAAAAATCTGAAAAACTTCCTTTGTTTGTAAATCTCTGATTTATTACACATGAAACACAGAACTTGAAATAGGCAGAGAATCTGAATTAGAGATTTAGTATATGAAGTCAATAACCATTTGGCCCTCAAACTCATCTGGTTAGCAGTGGCTGTGCCCTCTGCATGAGAGCATGAGGTGTGACACAAATATTGCTACTTGAAAACATTGTATGGGAGTTCTTAAGTCAGGAAAGTGTGAAACTACTGCTCCAGACCCTTGGTCTGGGCACAAGTTCTTATAAACAAGGCTTCATGTCCCTCACAAGACACCTTCTCACCTAATGGTGGAAGCACTATTACCCATATAAAACTGCAATGGCATCCTGGGCCCTGTCCTCCTCACCCAGCTGTATGAGCACTGTCCTCCTACACTGGAGCTCAGAGCTTTGCCCCACTGTGCAACACCTGTGTAAGAGCATGTCAGGGCCTGTGTATGTCTTCCAGAGTGCTCAGGATGATGATCTGGTTACATGTATGAAATGCCACTCCAAGGACAGTTTCTTTGCACAGTGAAATGACAACACCCCCGCTGAGACAAGGTATGGCCCAGAACTTGGCAGTGGGCCAGGCAGCAGGCCACTGTATGGCAGACACCACAGAGGTTGTAAAGCTTTGACAGAAATACGACTTTTGAAATCTATTCATTTTCTGAAATGTCCCTTAATACCAAAGTAAAATGGATTTCTGTAGCTGATCAGAGAAATCCTGTCCCCATCCAGCATGGGTGAAAAGTCCCCAGGTGAGAGTAAGGACAGGAGAAACATGGAGTAAACTGAGAAACAACACCCCTCATTCCCACATCAGGCAGTGTACGTGAGCTGTTTCTTTGAGCAATGTCCTATATGTATAGACTTGTGATTAACAAGCATTATTCATAGTTTTCTCTCCAAGGCTTTTTTTACACAAAGGATTGCATTTAGGTGTCAGCAAATTGATTTTTTTAAAGTGCTCCAGGACCCCAAAACCAGGCAGGTCCACTGCCAGCATATTTCATGGGAAGTATTTAACTTAGGCATGCCCAAGAATTTTAATAGTAATTTGATTCCCCTTCCCTATAAAGTAGGTTCGGGCTTTAGAAAAAGCTACCTGATTTAAGGATTAGTGATAAAAACAATATGAAGGCTGAGAGAACTTGGTAGTGCTTGAGCCATGAGACAAAATACATATCTCCTAGGACAAGGATCACGTTTGTGATGCTGCACTTGCCTACCCAGCCCTCACTTCTCTGCATAAGCTTCATTGTCACAAGTGCAAAACAAGACAAAATGGCATCAGGTGGTGTGTGGTCCCAGCACCCTGACAGTAAGGTAATTAAGCCAACTGGTGAAGGTACTTTGACCTGCTCAAAAGACTGATTAACAAAATCCCTTGGGAGGCTGCCCTGAAGGATATGGGAGTCCAGGAAGGCTGGACTTACTTCAGGAGAGAAGTCTTAGAGGCACAGGAGCAGGCTGTTCCCACGTGCCAAAAAAACAAGCAGGTGGGGCAGGAGACAGGCCTGGTTAAACAGGGACCTTCGGCTGGATCTCAAGAACAAAAGGAGAATCTATTGCCTTTGGAAGAGGGGGCAGGTCTCTCATGAAGACTATAAAGATGTAGTGAAGCTATGCAGGGAGAACATTAAAACAGCCAAAGCACAGCTAGAGCTCAACCTGGCTACAGCTGTTACAGATAACAAAAAATGTTTCTATAAATTCATTAACAGCAAAAGGACCATTAGGGAAAATCTCCCTCCTTTATTGGATGCAGAGGGAAACATGGTAATTAAGGATGAGGAAAAGGCTGAGGTGCTCAATGCCTACTTTGCCTCAGTCTTTAGCAGTGGAACTGGCTGTTCCCTGGACACCCAGCCTCATGAGCTGGGACATGGGGAGGGGAAGCAGACTAAGGTCAGCACAATTAAAGAGGAGATAGTCAGAGACCTGCTATACCACCTGGTTGCACACAGGTCTGTGGGACCAGATGGGTTACACCCAAAGGTGCTGAAAGAGTTGGCAGATGTGCTTGCCAAGCTGCTGTCCATGATTTACCTGAAGTCATGGCTGACTGGGGAGGTCCCACTGGACTGGAGGGTGGCAAATGTGACACCCATCTACAAGAGAGGCAGAAAGGAGGATCCAGGAAATTATAGACCTGTCAGTATGACCTCGGTGCCACGGAAGGTCACGGAGCAGATCATCTCGAGTGCCACTACAAATCATATAATGGACAACCAGGGGATCAGGCCCAGTCAGCATGGGTTTATGAAAGGCAGGTCCTGCCTGACAAACCTGATCTCCTTCTATGACAAGATGACCCGATACTGGACGAGGGAAAAGCTGTGGATATTTTCTACCTGGATTTTCAAAAAGCATTTGACACAGTTCCCCACACAATTCTCATTGTAAAACTGTCTGCCCATGGCCTGGATGAGCGTACTGTCTGCTGGGTCAAGCACTGGCTGGCTGGACGCTCCCAGAGAGTGGTGGTCAGTGGAGCTAAATCCAGCTGGCGGCTTGTCACAGGTGCTGTTCCTCAGGGCTCGGTGTTGGGACCATTTCTGTTCGACATCTTGATTGATGATCTTGATAAGGACACAAAGTGTATCATCAGTAAGTTCACAGATGACACCAAGTTAAGCGGGAATGTTGGTCTGCATAAGGATAGGGAGGCTCTGCAGAGAGACTTGGATAGATTGGATCGGTGGCCAATGTCAACGGGATGAGCTTCAACAAGGCCAAGTGCCATGTCCTGCACTTGGGCCACAACAGCCCCATGCATGGCTACAGGCTTGGGGAGGTGTGGCTGGAGCTGTCTGGGAGAAAGGGAGAAGAAAAGCCAAAGGATTGCACAAAAAGAGATATTACACTTGTAAGTACTGATTTTTATAGCAGAATACTCAATCAGCCAAGTTAGAAAAGACCAGTTGCATATAAAATAATACCAGTTAGAGATTTCTCACACTGAATTACCTGTGGGGTAAAAAATGCAGTTTGTTGCTATTAGTTGCACGGCAGGTTTATGCTTTCAGTGCTAGTTAACATGGCTATTAGCACAATTTCTTGTTGTAAGTCTTGGGAATTTCAGTCAAACTGGAATTGGTTTTACTCTTATTTATTAGATTAGCACCATGTTCAGTTCCATCATGTATTGCTTTTGTTTAAGTTTTCAACAGTGTTTTGCAGCCTAGTTTTAAATGACTCAAACTAACACAAAGTAATGGTAATAAAATATAAAGCATCAAATAAGGGAGTTTTTTTCTGTCTAAATCAAGCCAGAAAGTCTGAAGTTCTACAAGTATTTTTTCCTGGGACAATACAAAGCATTGACTTAACAAACAATTGTTGCCACAACTATTTCAAAGGTCACATTCACAACAGACACTGATGGTGGTGCTTTAATCATTCCTGAAGTGAAGTATACATGTCATTCCTCCTGAAAACCTGAGAGATTTCTTCATGATGTATGTGCCAATTAAAGAGACAACAATTTGTGTACAGCACTAAGTGACCATGTACTTTTGCCTGTATAGGTGAAGGAAGCTTCTGTCATCTCTTAACTACTCCAGCATTAACAGAGGTCAGAAAATCTTTTATCACACTCCCATGAAACAGAATCCTTCCATCCAAGCACATCTCTAGACTTCTGTAATAGCTGCTGAAAGTGCAAGAAGGAAAGAAGCACACCGACCCAGGCCCATCACTGGTCAGTTTACAGACAGATGAAAGCAACCAGTAGTACAAAGTTCGAGGAAATACTAGAAGCACTAATAATGACAGCATGAAAGATATAAGAAATGTAATGCTTGCTCAATTAGTACTAACATTTAGTTACTTTTAAGTGACTACATACAGGCAAAGGGACCTTTCTGCTTTAAGTCTCTCATGCTGGTATTTAAATGAAGCTAGTATGTGACAAATGCCTAATTTCTTCAGAACATTTATACGTTGGTACTATCAGTGCAAGTAAGAAACATGTATGAATCAAACCCTGACTTCAAGCCAGACCATAGCTGTTGGCAGCTCCTAACAAGCCAATAGCAGGAATCAAAGCCCTTCCTCCCTTCTCAGTATGTACAGAGGGTTTCACAAGCTATCATTTTGCATTACTGCATGTAAATACTGCAAGAAATTCAACTACTGTAGCTTTGCAGCTTTACTGTATTATCTTGTCTGGGCATTTCAATTATTTTTACTTAAAACTTCCCCCATACCTTTGATATGCTCAGGTATTAAAATAAATCTCAAGGATCTTGAAGGAAAAAGCTCTTGAATTTGAAAAGAGGGTAAGCACCAGTGTTTGCCAAATACCACAGTAGACCTTTTTTTTTTCAAAGGCAAAACATATTCAGTTCATTAAGCAAAGCTTCCTGTAAGTAAGAGGTTTTTTTCCCCTAGCAGCTCACCAAAGTAAAATAAAATTAAATCAGAATGCATGTGTGGAAATGCTTTATAATCTGGCATGTGTCTACATGAAAGCTGCAGTCAGCCTCTGTGCATCAACAGCAACAGTTAAGGGTCAAACTGAAAGTAACACATACAGGTAGGAAAAGTACCTTTCTATCCACAGATGTATAAAAACATCAGGACAACTGTGTGTTTCCTCTTTGTAGCTGAAGTCATATTGTTTCTTGTCAGTTACTTGCCACACACTTGTCACAAATATATTGCCATTCTGTGCAGTAAGAGTAATACTTCGGGCCATGCTAGTTCTGAGTAAAAGGTTGATTATGACAATGCAATGCCACGCCACCATAGTTTCAGTCATGCTGTGTTTGTTCAGTGTTATATTATGATGATTAGTTCCTTATGTTCTTGAGAACAAATTGGACAGTAACTTCCAGCCTGACAGTATTTCAGTTAGTTTCTCTGCTTTTATTACCAAGCATATAATATTAATTGGCAAAACACTGGATACAAGCTTCACTACCATAAAATCAAAACATTAAGCAATAATCCCAAAAGGCTTATTCAGACAAAACTGGCCACCAATAGTACAAAACTTACACAGCAATGCAAAGCATAAAAAATTGTAAACTTTCAAATGAAGCTAAGCCAAAAATATGGTTTTATACTGTGACAGTTCCAGAATCTTTATTATGCCACATATAACGATAAGGGCTTAGTGGTTGTACTGGCTTATTGTTCCTTAACTGTAAAATAATCTTGTTGCAGAAGGAAAGAACAAACTCTCCCTTTGTCCAGATAAGTCACTTGAATTCAAGATTCCATTAAACAAATACTTTGAGTTTCAAGTGAAAATAAAAAAATACTGGAATATCAGTATTAAAAAATTAGGGCTTCTTCCTTCAGCCACACCTAACTGTTTGCATGAGTGGAACCATTCAGATTATTAGTAAAGTTACCAATATAAATGTTCATAGAATTGGACATTTAGTTCCTACCCTACCACTAGTATCTGGCCAGGTCACTGTGGCTCTGAAAGATTTCCTAAAAGCCCTAAGGATGATCAAAATGGATCAAATAGCAGAACCAGAGCTTTAATTTGCATATAAATAAAGCATAACTCCACAGTAAAATGTTACTGTTGACTTGCCACAAGACACAAGTTCCCAGCAAGCATCTGTATTGACTGCAAATTTGGATTAAAGCAGAGATTGAAGCATTGTCCATGTTCCTTAATGTTGTTCTCTCTGCAACTTTTTATTTCAGCAACAGATCTCAAGATCTTAGTTACACTTAATCATATCTTATGTAGAGATTCTAGTACATGGAAAATTTTTTTGCCTTGTTATCAACTGTAGGCAGACTAACTGAAATGTAGGTTGCATTAACATTTCCAGTGAAACATCTAAACTGAAATGATTACCTGAGGAAATACAGCAACTTGATTTTTCTGTACAGTCAAGCCTTCTGTACAAGTACTTATTTTAAGTACTTAATTCATCTTGCTGATTTTCAGACTGGTTGGCTTTTTCCTATTATATTTAGCTCAATGGCAAGATGCATAACGCTGTAAAATAGGCTAGTTATATTTATCATCCAGTAGAAAAAACTCAATCTACTAGGACTACCTATGATGTTATAAAGACAGTAAGAACCAGATCTGCTCATAGCCTATTGGAAAAAAAATAGCACCATCATAGTTGTAGTCTGATATTTTTTATGGTCCCATATCCCCAGAGGTGATGTGTATACTATTGCACAACGAATAAAAATAAATATTCCCAGGTCTGATGGTACACCAATACACCAGACATAACTATGGCACAAGAATTTTTCGGATAGGCTGCAAGTCTTGCCAATTGCTTCTACAATTCACATTAAGGTTTCTTGCAAGATCTTTTATTTTAAAATATTGCTGACAGATAGTTCTTGTACTTAAACAAATTTAAATCCCACACTTCACTCTTAAAATAAAAGGAAATAAAAAATCAGTCCCCTCAAATAGTCCCAAACAAAACCCCACTTGAACAAGTGAGAAAAACCATCTACATTCCTTTTAAATTTAATAGTAAGTAGATGCTACATTTACAATTTAAACATATGCCTAATAAAATGCATGTTTCAAACCTATTGCACAAAAGCACAAGTAATGCTCTTTATCCATACAAAACAAAAACATACAAATAAAACTTAATGTAAAAGGAAGAAGCTTGTAAAAACATCTTACAATTTCATTTTATATGCCCGTATATAAAGCTGGATCACTGAAACCAAAAATACTTGGATGGTAAAATAAGACAGAAGGTTTAAAATAGAATAAATAATTTCATAAAGTTTAACTTTAAAACCCCAAATCTTATTTAAATTCAATATATATATTCTATCTGAATTCTCTATTTTTAATGAAACTATATTTCACGAGACTCTGAGCCTGGGTGATTCATCAGTCTCACTGCTGCTGAGTATAATGCAATAAGATACTTCTTTACTGCAATTATTTACCAGCACAAGCAATTGTGAAAACTACTTCACAGTAATGGCATCATCACAAAAGCCAAAAAACCTAACATGTAACAACTAGCACTGAGTACCTATGCTGAGTCCAAATTTTAGTCTAACTCTGAACAGTATCAGGATTACTTTACCCAACATAATCTTGATATAAATTCACTGTCTCTTAAGCTTCACAGAAGTGAAACAAGGCTCTGACCCAAAGGAGACCTTCCTCAATTCAAATGTATTGTAGTCTTTTAATAAGGCTAAAGGAAATAAACGTATGGTCCAGACATAGTCACATCCCTCCTAAGAGAAAGAGTTTCTGTAGCAAAGATGTTGTGACATGTGATTTAGAAAAATAACTGAGTGGTTTTGGTTTTGTTGTTTTTTCTTCTTACTGGTGAGGTTTTATCAGACTAAAGACATTGTCAAAGCAGTTACACACTATTATGAGCAAAAACCCCAGCTTTAAGTATTAATACTGGCTTGAATTTATGTATCCATATAGGTATAACCAGAGTTTTCAATATATCGATAGCACCATAACAAATTCAAGTGATTCTAAAGATGCTTCTAAATTTATATGTTCTGTACTGTGGATTGTTACAGCAAGAGATAGATTTAAAAGGCTTCTGAATTTGTGTGTTTGTAACTAATTTCTCAGTTGCACAAGTACACAAGTTGCACAAGTACCAAAATCTCAATGTACTTTAACAGCACTGCATCTAGTCATACAAAAAGTTTCTGCAGTACACACACACTCTGAGGTAGACAGATCTCACATATATACATGTATTTGTTTTTATGTGTATATATTTATCCTGATTAAGGTGGTTAATCAGAATGCTGCCTAGCAGCCTTAATTTTATGTCTACAACTGGTACAGCCAGTGTCTGTATGCTCAGGATGCAGAGAGGGTGGACACTAACAGCCCTATTCATATTCTCAGTGCCTCAGCAGCTGGAATCAGTCCCTTATTTACACTAGGACAGTGACAGCCACATAAAGAACTCTAGAAAGGCCAAATACATCAGTTTTGTGTACACATCCATACCACCTTCATTCACTGTTTCATGAAAAGATTAGAAAACTGGTAGACCCATGATCTCATTTGTTCTCTTCTGCCAGTTCAAGTAATGTTACAGACAGAAAAAAAAAGCTAAAATACATATATCTGAGTCCACAAACAGTAAGACAAAACCACAGCCAAGTTCCAATTCCATTGTTCATATGCATGCACACCCCCCGCCCAACAAACCCAGCCATGCAGCCCAAATGTGGAGTTCTGCCTAACTCAAATGCAGCTATCCTACACACTCATCTGCAAGGACAGCAGCACTTTTTGGCCTTTGTGTGGTTCTCCTTTCCATCTCCACAGCTCAGTAGGCTCCTTTCATTCTCTGCTCAGATGCTTTTTGTTTTGCCATTCACATCTGTGACTGTAACTAAAAATGAAGAGCCCTGTTTTCAAAGGTAAACACAAGTTGGAGCATTCCTTCTGCAGCAGCAGAGATGAGAAAGGAGGACTGAAGACTCCAAAGAAGGAAATTATGGGACACATGCTGAGGAATGTGGTATTTTGAGAACTCAAGAAGAGGACAATGATTTAAAATGCTTGGATAAACTTCTTGCAGTATCAGCTTATGCAGTATTAGTTATGGAATAACAACTAATACTTTCTAGCATGAGAGGTGAAAGAGCACAGCTAGAGGAACGGCAGTTACAGGCAAACATTTTTATCCAAAATTTTCTTACTCAAAAACAATTTATCAAAAAAATAACAGGGTTTAATAATAGGTATAGCAACTAGCATTTTGAGCTGACTGGAAAACTCTTCTGAAAATTAGAAGGTTAACTATTTCCAGCTGCCAATGATATGGCATAGCCTGTTTTCAGTCACTTGACATCTGTGCCAAATACTCTCACAATTATATAGGCTATACTGCATATAGCTTGCAGAAATCACTTTCAACTACCGTTTTTAGAAAGCCAACTATCTCAAAAAGCCTTACAAAGTGCAGTGAACCCTGGTAGGTGCTACTGAAGATGCATTCTTTATCATATATAGATATAAGTGTGTAAGATGTATGCACACATACATACATGCATGTGTATTGCCTTGCATCCATTAGGACTGATGCAAGCAAAATTATCGGTTAAGGCTAGAAGGTGCTAAAATAATCTTGTCTGACACTCCCCGCCACCTCTACCCCAAGACAACTAGGAATTGTGTTAAGGAAAATGCTATGGTTTCCTAAGAAAACAGGTAAAGGAAATATAAAGCTGCCCATAATGATCTGAGAAATCAGTGAAATTAAAACTGTGCAGTATCACCCAAAGTTGCCCAAGAGTCAGTGTTTCAATAGCTAGTGAGAGTAATTTATCTCCAAATTAAAAACTGATTTCTGCAAGCCACAACTACATAAGAAATGTTTATTTTTTAAAAAGTTCACCAGTCTAGCACTTTTGAGTATTTGTTATTATGTGATAAAATTTATGCCACAGTAAAGTAACAGGGCACATTAAAATAAACTGAAATAATTTCTATTAATCTTACCAAATCAACATGCATAGACGAGTATCAAAACTTTACTAAAACACAAAGTGAGGGAGAGCAATAACTGGGCAACAATGACAAAATTACTGGTTTCCCAGATTTTCAGAAGTTTTCAAAGCAGCATAATAAATTATCACCAGTCACTGTATCATCAGGCATGGTCAATGCTCTGCAGAATAACTTGAATAAAGCCAATGCAATCAGGCAATACTATATAAGACTAACACTTTGCAAAAATATAGTTTCTAAAGATTCAGAATGTGAAAAGTAACTAAATACAAAGGTGTCAAAAGCAACATTTTTTAATGACCCCACAGCATTCTAACTTATTTCTGTGTAATTGTAAGAGATAAATCAGGCTAAGCTACATGGAACTGTGAAGAGTTTTCAGTATCCGTAAACTTAGTGCTGGTAGTGTCCTGCTGAGTTGCGCCTTTTCTTCCATACAAAAAAAAGTATAAATATTTTCTGTCCCAGAAATCTAGGTAATACATCCCTAGAAGAAATATTCAGAAGGACAGTCCTCTATGAAAGCCCTACAGTCATCCAAAATTATTCGGCTGGTTTGTGTCATGTGATTAGTGGTGCACTAAGAAGGTGCCAGATGATAGTCTCTGCAAAAAACTCTGTCCAGAAGGACAATAAAGTTCTCTCACAGCAAGTCCATTTTGGGTCTGTAATGTAGCAGTAGAGGTGCTTTCTGCAAGACAGAAATATCAGGGAAGTTAAGAAACAAAACCAGCACTAATTTGTTCAGTAAGCAACACAGTTGTTTCCTAAACTAAAGCTTAAATGAACTACCAGAGTAACTATCTGACCCATCAATGCAATTTAATCTGTGGTGCTCAAACAAGAGATGAAGAATCCTTTCTGTTTTGTCTCAGGAGCTGATCACCTTAAGATCACTTCTACCAGGTCTGTTGAACTTGGAAAACCCATTCCCAAGTGAGAAATGCAGATGTCTAAAAAGCAGCATAAGAGCACATGATACTTCATATTTAACAGCTCTCACTTGATTCCTCTTCTGTGAGCATATCCATTGCTTTTTTTATGAATAGTTAAACTTCTAACATCTACAACATCCTGCACCAAGGAGTTCTGTGTCTCATGAAAAGAACTGCTCCCTCTTGTTTATTATGGACCTTCCACCTCCGTTTCATTTTACATCCCTCACCTCTTTCACTTGCCAGTTTACAGTTCCCTTTTCCATGTGACTCACAATTGCATAGATTTCCATGAGAAAGGTGAATAGTAGACTTGTACACATCATTTTGCTCATCAATTTGATGCTAGTTTGGTTCTCTTCCCCCACCCCCATAAAAACCCCTAACATTTGCCTTGTATCCTTTTATATGTATCTACACTGAATTTAAGGTGCTCACTAATCACCTGTCACTCAGATCTGTAAAGGCTTGCTTTAATCCTTTGTTATCGATCTGTCTTCACCATCCTAAAAAAACACAGTGTTGTCAGTGCACTTGTTACTGCACTACTCAAATCCCTTTCCAGGTCCACCAGGAACATCATACAAAACAGACTGCAGTAGGATTCCACTCGTGACCTCTCTGCATTTCAAAGACTGACCATTGACTTCTAATCCTGTGACTCTTTGGCAAGTCAATTGTTTTTCTATGCTAAAACAGAAAAATGCTTCCTTACTCCCACCTGCACTTCTTCTAGATATGCAACCAAAGCCATCAAGTGGTTCTATGTCAGTATACACTGTAAGCTCAGACTGTGTTGCTTGTCCATTATGAACACTAACTCCTAATTCAAATATCCCCAAATACACATACACTGACATACAATGCATTCTTACACCCATTTCACTTGAGCTGCCATTAGTAATGTGATAACTAATACTCAGAATAAATGCCCCGCTGTTTACTATTCAGTTGCATGAAGGAAGTTGTTTAAAGAAACCACAATAAGCAAGTCAAAGATGTACTCAAACATTTTTAACCAGCCTTGTCTATGGCTACTAAATGTTGCTATAAGTTTCCTTAACTAAGGCAGACAAGCATTGCAATTACTGCATTTCCCTTAGAAGTAAACCAGCCTTCTTGAGCTACAGAAGAGTACTGTGTTGAAATTTTCTGCCTTTTCTGCATAACAATCAATTTCCCCTATGTGGATTAAAACCAGTTTTACCTGGAATAGCTAAAAATACCTCCTTGTGGCTTCCACTTCCTTTGCCACACTTGATGACATTTTGACAGCTGATGCAGTGTTCCCTTTTCCCTTGCAATTAATACTGAATTTCCATTTCCTTCATTTTCTTGGAAACAAAATTAATACTTGGTCTTTAAGAATGCTGTGTTAGATATTTATTAAAGTATATTTTTATAGAGTTTGCAGTTACTGCAGTTTAGTTCCAAATTATGCCTATTTTATAAACATTTTATTTGGCCATTTCATGATTTACTGGGAACCACTGTGTCATACCTTAAATCTCCATCTAGTAACAACTACAAACTTGAGCGTGTGGTCCTTGCCAAGAATCTCTTCATTGCATAATATGTCCAGCTGACAAAACAAAGACAACAGTTAATTCACTGGGACACAGTACCTGAAACAATGTATTTCAGATACTTCTACAAATGTTTGACATTTTTTTTCTCTGAAGACACTGGAACCATTCATCTGCAAACTAAGTGGCGAGTCCTGAGACCCAAGAAAGGACAAGAAGATGGCTGTGTAACACATAATTCAAGAAACAGTGTATGCTTCTGTTTTCTGAAAGTAAAATCATACTAAAAGACATTCCTTTACAAAGGAACAATCCCACACTTTTCATAAGGTTTTGGGGGTTTTTTAAATTATTTTGCAGATACTTTACCTCATTAAAAGAAGAGAGGTTAAGTTTTTTGGCAATGAACTTCTTTAGATGCAAGACTGTTGCCTGTGCCGAGCAACGAATCCATTTTCGCTTCAATCCACGCAATTTGCTGCTATTGCATTCCAAGCAGATGCTTACCTTCAGGAAAAAGCAAGAAGTCAGGACTGGCCAGAACAATTTTCTGCAGTTATAATTATGTATTCCATACGCAGTTCTTATTAATAAAACAATGTGAAAAAAGTACAATATTAGTTAGTATTCCTTAAACTGAAATTCCCATAGTCCTATTAAAAAAAAAAAAATCTAACATCTTGCCATCTTAGTTAAAAGCACTGTTGCAACCAAACTGGATCTGGACAAAGAAGTTCAAGAAAGAATTTTGATGGTAAAACAAGGCTGCTCCAGTCCAAATTCACAGTCTGCCAATAGCTCAAGAGGACCCTATGTCAAAAGCTAGACTAAGATAAATAGTAAGAATACCATTGCCACGTGATTGCTTCTAACATCTTGCTTTTAATGCAACTGCCAAATCCAGTTGAAACCAATTTTGAAATGTTTAAAAGATAATTTAAGTTTAAAAAGGATACAAATGAAATAACACATTTCTTAAAATTCTGAAGATTATACACACACACACACGTCCCCAGATGTCTCTAACTTCTATGCTTCAATTCTCACTTTTTTACTTATCCAGTTATTCATTACTTGGTCTAAGGTCTTTTGTGATGATTTACTTTATGCAGAATTGGATCTAGTACTACATACAATCCCTTTCAAGGTTCTCATACATTATCATTGAAAATAAAATTAATTCAAGTTGTAATTTACTCTGGACACACATAACAGGAAAACATAAAAGGGATGGTTTGTTTATCTCAAAATGAGATTTCACTTTCAAAGATTTTTTGTGTTTAAAACTTAACAGTGAACTTCCCAGCTTTCATACTATTTTTATGGTATAGAGGTTTAAAACAAAATAAATAGTAAGGTAGTAAAAGTGCAAAAGGTTTCATTCATGATTACTGATATATGTTCAGCTCAATGTATCACAATAACACTGGGATACAGTCCTTCAGAAAGGGGGCTGAATATCCTGAATGTGTTTTGAAAGGAAATATTTTGGAAACTTATAAACAAACAGAATTACCAGATCTTAATGTAAATGTCTTCACTGCATTCTCCATTCCTGCTGAAACCCAAAGATTAGCACAAAAGCACTGAGCAACACTGCATCTTGTTTGTAGCAGAGGACAGAAAAAATAGTTTGAAGCAGCTATTTTTCTTCTTTGTTAGCTTACCAAAGCACTAAAGTTAAAATACAAGATAAAACTAAAACATCCCCTGTGAGCTCACCTGTTCATCACTTCGGTGGTAGTCATTATCTTCTTCCTGTTTTTCCTCTGAAGTTTCTTTGTTTGAATTTTCATCCGTTTTAGTTTCACCTTAAATAAGAAACCAGATATATGGGATAGCACTCTGCAGCAGCTTGCGATGCTAATATGATTAAAGCAGCACAATTCAGGACTGCAATATAGAATCAACTTGCTTTTCCTGATTTGTGCTTATCTGCTTAAGCAACACTAGCTGCTAACATCCCCATGCATCAAAGAGAGGAATACATACAGAGGGCAACCTTCAGTTCAACTGCTAGCAGCCCAGAAGCTGGGTAATTTCACAGTCCCCATGTAGGCACTACTCTGGAGATCTCCTTTGCTAAGAGTAAAATGCTATGTCCAGCTAAAAAGAAAGATTCTGTGCACAGATAAGTGACAAATCAACAATCCTACACTCACTGCATTGTGCAGTGTTATAAAACAATTGTGATTGTAATAAACCAACTAGGTACATACCTCCAAAAGGTCTGTTCATCAACTTACTACTCATCACCCGCTCAATACAGAATAAATAAAGGACTATTTACCATTTCGATGGGAATCTAGGTGCTGTTTTGTAGAACATGTCTCCCCTTTGATGTCCCCTGGAACTTCCATGCCCAGTTTGTGATAAAACTCCCTTTGCTTTTTCATTTCCGCTGTTTAAAATTGTAAATATTAATCCCTGTAATAAAGTGCTAATGCAATATTTACGAAGTTATTCCAAATCCCTTCCCTCTTCAGTGAAACAGGTTTGCCAACAAATAGTGGTATTGTCAGTATTTACTAATTTCTGTGATTGTATCAAGTCATTCCTCATTTTACTTTTCAGAGTTAGAATAATACAAAGTCATTCATATAGCTAATATTATAGCATTCCTATTAGAATTAGATAGTATGTAAAATAACATACCTTATTTTGAATCCCTCCCACAATATTTCAAACTATTGTTTTTGAACTTTTATTTATAGTTCTGATTTTCTATATACTAGAAATAATTTTTAAATAATCTATTTAATCTTATCAATGTTTGAGAATATTCTTGTTTTGAAGCTTAAATGGATTAAAATACTCTATTTAAATGAGAGTTGTAACACACATTAAGACAAAAATCACAGAGAAGTTACTATAAAGTGCTTCTGTAGTTAAACAGATCCAGCTGCAAAGAAGATTATACCTGCTACGAAAGGATTCACACAGTGGCAGAAACATCACTGAAACTAAATTGTACTGCATTACATTCTACCTCTGAGAATTCTAGGAAGTTGGCACAACAGGTTTAAAGTACACAGTTTAACAAGACCTAATGAGTTAATGTGACAAACATTTAAAAGCTGAACTCTCATTCTGCTTTACTTAACACAACTTTTCAAAGAAACATCCCATCTTACCTCCCAACACCCTCACACTCAATTGCTGCTAGTACAAGTATGAAATTAAACTAATCACTAGAAATTAACAAATGAAAAAATAGTTTTCCACTGTATTTTCCTCAGTTCACCCTCCCATTTTCATCACCCAAAACTTATTTTTTTAAGTGCTAAACTGTGCAAAACTACCTATAAGAAAGGTCATACAACAGCTTACCTTCTTGGAGGCCTGGCACAAGTTTGTAAACAATATCTTGCATTGTTCTGTCATGACTAGCAAAAAAAAAATAAAAATCCAAAATCAAAAGTCAACCATCTTGATTCAAAACATTTCTCTTAAAAAAGCTCTAGTACTAAACTGATGTAAAATCTCTAAATTCACCGAAGCAGCATTTCAATTCTCAAATCAGTATTTATATCACACAAGAGAGGACAATAACATGAAACAAGTTATGAAAAAGTACAGGCTAAGACAGAAATACAATGGAAGTTTGAGGAAGAATAGTCTTGGACATCTAGAGGATGACACTCCATGGAACAGCCTCCTGACTCAAGGCAAGTATGTCACTAATAATCTCAAAATTCTTTAACAACTGTGAGGTAAACTAATTTTTATTACAAAAGAATCAAGGATAGTCTGTTTCTCTACCCTTACAGACTGATCTCTCACATTTCTAGATGACTTATTTATCTCTACTAGGCTTCTCCAAAAAAATGCAAAAGAACAGTTCAGAGAAAAAGACCACAAAAATAACATTTTACTTTGCTCTGAAAAGCCAACATTTTAACTGTTAACAACATTGTGTAGTTGGTAAGTCTGTACAGGTAGTGTAGCTCAAATAAATGAAAAGTAATAATCCCACTGGAACTGGAGCAGCAGGATCGGTTAAGATTCTAAACTTTAATTAGCAGTTCACTTTGACAAAATTCTGTTTTACTCTAAAATAAGTCACTGTCTGAAAGAAACAAAGTATTACCCTAAATTCCAATTAATAAATAAAATCAGAAACATTTCAAATGTCTGTCTTGGCTGCTGCAAGGTCATTACCCCAAGTGAGTCTGCAACACCAAATCCTGAATCTGACTTAAATAGGGGAAGAGGCTTGCAAGAGTAGTCTCAGGCTTCTCATCACCTGACATAAGCACTTCACAGCAGTGGAGACCAGGAAAGTAGTACAGAAATTATGACTAATCAAGAGATTTACAGTCAACCATTACAATCTTTTAAGTAGCACTAATAAAAGAAGCAAAGTATCATTAATTCTAAATTCATGTAATTTCGAGTAGCAATCCCATTTGCACAGGCTGGGACTTTCATGTGTCACATACGTATTGCATGAACATTTCCCAAAGTACTGCAACATAATCAGCTACCAATCAGAGGTGAGAATTTAAGAGTACTCAGAAATGTGAAACAGGAGACACATTTGGTTTACCTATTTTCCAGATAAAAGGAGATGAACAGGAATGCAATTCTACACTCTACGACATTTTGTAAAGCTCCTGACACTCAATTCTTTATTAAAAAACATACATATCCAGAAGCAGGGTGGGCAAAAGCTGTTTCAGTCTTGAAGGGGCAGTATTTTGGAACTAGTTCAACTCGGTCCTTTGCAGTGTATTCAAGGACCAAAACCAAGTAATAAATTCCCTTCTAGCTGTTCTCAATTTGATGCTGTTTTCCTGGCCCCTTCTTGCACAGAAAAAAGCTTCTGAACCAAGGCACTATTGTATTCCTGCAGCTTTACAGAAGACACATATGGTGTCTTGTCAGTTATTTGTTCTTGTCTATTGTCATCTACTTGTCATATAACATATTATCAAAGTACACTACTACTCTTCAAATGCAGAGCTGGAATAACTAGTTTCGAGCTCTTGAATCAGGATCAACTTGAGCAATGTCTGTATCAACAGTGTTCCGTAAAAGTGAAATCAAGCTAGTTTTCTATAAGCTTTGCTTCAAAAGTTCTTTCAGAACTGAGAAAGGCACCCTGAAAACTACCACAAAAAAAGCAAACTCTTTATAAAGGCAGACAAAACACTATGTGATATGCAACAGCTAGGCCAAACAGACTGCCACAATAGATTAACAGATTTTCATCAGCAAAAGTGTTATGGTTTAATCCTAGCCAGCAACTACACACCATCCAGCCGCTCACTTCTTCCTCCCCTCTCACAGTGGGAAGGGGAGAAGAATCCAAAGAAAAAAGAATGAAAAGGTTAAGACTATTTTAATAACTAAATAAAACAAAATATAATCAAAGTAACAATAATAACAATAAAATATAATAATAATACATTATTAAGGAATATATACTTGTACATACTGTAAGAAAAAGGAATATAAAAAAGAGAGAGAGAAATAAAACCCAAGAAAAGTGATACACAGTGCAATTGCTCAACCCCCACTAACCAATGTCTGAGTAGCTATCTGCCCCCACAGCAAACTCACAGAATAACAGAATCATCTAGGTTGGAAAAGACCTTGAAGATCATCCAGTCCAACCATCAACCCAACAATAACAGATCCCAACTACACCATATCCCTCAACGCTACGTCAGCCCGAATCTTAAACACCTCCAGGAATGGGAACCCCACCACCTCCCTGGGCAGCACATTCCAATGCCTAAAAACCTATTCTGGAAAGAAATACTTCCTGATATCTAGTCTAAACCTTCCCTGGCACAGCTTGAGGCCATTCCCTCTTGTCCTATCACTTGTTACTTGATTAAAGAGACTCATCCCCAGCTCTCTGCACCCTCCTTTCAGGTAGCTGTAGAGGGCCATGAGGTCTCCCCTCAGCCTCCTCTTCTCCAGACTAAACACCCCCAGTTCCCTCAGCCACTCCATGTACAACCTGTGCTCCAGACCCTGCACCAGCTCCATTGCCCTTCTCTGGACACACTCGAGTCATTCAATGTCCTTTTTGTAGTGAGGGGCCCAAAAGAACACATTCATCGAGGTGTGGCCTTACCAGTGCTGACTACAGGGGTCAGATCCCTTCCCTGTCCCTGCTGGCCATGCTATTGCTGACATAAGCCAGGATGCCATTGGCCTTCTTGGCCACCTGGGCACACTGATGGCTCCTGTTCATCGGGCTGTCAATCAACACCCCCAGGTCCTTCTCTGACTGGCAGCTCTCCAGCCACTCCTCCCCAAGCCTGTAGCGCTGCTGGGGGTTGTTGTGGCCCAAGGGCAGCCCCCGGCATTTGGCCTTATGGAAACTCCTCCAGTTGGCCTCAGACCCTCACTCCAGCCTGTCCAGGTCTCTCTGCAGAGCCTCCCTACCCTCGAGCAGATCAACACTCCCACCCAACTTGGTGTCATCTGCAAACTCACTGAGGGTGCACTCGATCCCCTCGTCTGGATCATGAATAAAGATGTTAAACAGGAGTGGCCACAAAACCCAGCCCTGGGGGACACCACTCGTGACTGGCCGCCAACTGGATTTAACTCCATTCACCACATCTATTTGGGCCCAGACATCCAGACAGTTTTTTATCCAGCAAAGTGTGTGCCCATCCAAGTCTCGAACAGACAGTTTCACCAGGAGAATGCTGTGGGAAACAGTGTCAAAGGCCTTTCTAAAGTCAAGGTAAACAGCATCCACAGCCTTTCCCTCATCCAATAAGCAGGTTGTCCTGTCGTAGAAAGAGATCAAGTTTGTCAAGCAGGACCTGCCTTTCATAAACCCATGCTGACTGCGCCTGAGCATCTGGTTGTGATGCACGTGTTGTGTGATGGTACTCAGGGTGAGCTGCTCCATCAGATTCCCGAGCACCAAAGTCAATCTGACGGGCCTGTAATTTCTTGGATCCTTCCGACCCTTCTTATATCTGGGCGTCACATTGGCCAGTTTCCAATCAGTCAGGACCTCCCTGGTCAGCCAGGACTGCTGGTAAATGATGGAAAGCAGCTTGGCAAGCACCCCAGCCAGCCTCTTCAGGACCCTTGGGTGTATCCCATCGGTCCCATAGACTTGTGTGTGTCTGTGTGATGCAACAGGTCACTGACTGTCTCCTCCTGGATTGCGGGGTGGTCGTTCTCCCAGTCTCTGTATTCTGGCTGAGAGGCTGGATTCCCTCAGTAGTCTTGTTATTAAAGACTGAGGCAAAGAAGGCCTTTTCTCATCACTTGTTACCATGTTTCCTCCTGTGTCTAGCAGGGGATGGAGGCTCTCCCTGGTCTTTGTTTTGCTCTTGACATACTTATAGAAACATTTCTTGTTATCCTTCATTGCTGAAGCCAGATTAATTTTTATTTGGGTTTTAGACCTCCTGATTTCTGCCCTGCATAGCCTCACAGTGTCATTGTAATCACTGTGAGTGGCTAGCCCGTTCTTCCAAAACTGTAAAGTCTCCTTTTCTCCCTGAGTTCCAACCAAAGCTCCCTGTTCAGTCAGAGTGGTCTTCTCTGCCGCTTGCTTCTCTTAGAGCAGCTGGGGACTGCCTGCTCCTGTGCTATTAAAACTTCCTTCTAAAAGACTGTCCAGCCTTTTTGGACCCCTATACCCTTCAGGATCATCTCCCAAGTGATTCTGTCAAGCAGTTGCCTAAACAAGTCAAAGTCAGCCTTTTGGAAGTCCAGGATGTAACTTCTGCTGCCCCATCTCCTGGCTTCCCTAAGAATATAGAAATCTATTATTTCATGATCGCTGTGCCGAAGTCAGTCTCCAAGTGCCACATCATCCACCAGTCCTTCACAAAGAGGATATCCAGCAGGGCACCTTCTCTGGTCAGTTCACTCACCAGCTGTGACAGGAACTTATCTGCCACACATCTGAGGAATCTCTGCGACTGGTCCCCCTCTGCTGTGTTGTATTTCCAGCAGATGTCTGGGAAGTTAAAGTCACCCACAGGAACAAGGGCAAGCGATCGTGAGATTTCTCCTAAATGCCTATAGACTATTTCATCCACCTGTCTGTCCTGTGTGGGTGGCCTATAGTAGACTTCTGCTACAACATCCACCCTGTTGGCCGTCCCCCTGATTCTAACACAAGACACTCTACCCTGTCTTCACTACACTTGTACTCAAAACAATCATAACAGTCCCTTACAGCACCACCCCACTGCCTCTCCTTCCTTGTCTATCCCTCCTAACGAGCTTGTAGCCATCAACTAGTGCACTCCAGTCATGGGAGACATCCCACCATGTTTATAACAGTCACTACATCATAATTTTCCTGTTTCATCATACTTTCAAGCTCCTGTTTTTTACCCATGCTGTGTGCAATGTTATACATGCACTTGGAGATGGGCTGATGTCATCAGCACCTTTTTGCATTTCCTGAGTCCAGCCTGAGCTTTCACAGCTTTTACCATGGTTATGGATCCATCAATATCCCTTGCATCTTTGTCATGCTGCATGTCTCCATCCCTTGCCTCCACTGAGATGGCAGGATGAGGATCGTTGCTGGCACAACAGCCCACAAACTGTGGTAATCTACCCTGGGGCTTATGTCTGGGAGTTCAAGTTTTGTTCCCCTCCCCTTTCAAATCCAATTTAAATCTCTCTCTATGATCCCAGCTAACTCCTGCCCCAAGATCCTTTTTCCCCTCTGGGACAGGTGTATCTCACCTGATGCCAAAAGGTCTGGCATCCTGTAGACTAACCCGTGATTGAAAAATCCAAAGTCCTGATGGTAACACCAGTCTCGGAGCCACAAGTTCATCTGTTGGGCTCTCCTACAATAGAGAACACTATTTGTGGCCCCAACTCCTTAAGCAGTTTCCCCAAGGTCCTGAAATCTCTCTTAATTGTTTTAGGACTTATCTTGGTAATATTGTTGCTACCTACCTGAAAAAACAAGAGAAGGTAGTAGTCCTTGTGTCTCACTAGAACAGGGAGCTTTACCCTGAGGGCCTTCATCTGGGCACCAGGAAGGTAGCAGACTTCGCTATGAAGCAGGTCTGGTCTGCATATTGGGCCTTTGACACCCCTCAGAACAGAGTCACACACTGATATGACCCTTCTGAGTTTTCTTTTAGAATGTGTTTTAATACTTGGTCTAGAGTGACCTGGACTTGGTTGACCTTCATCTTCCTCCTTGTATGACTCATTTTCTTCATCCTTCTCTACTTCATTGCAAAGTTCCAGGGCCACTTATCTATTGTGGAGGAGTACCATGGAAGATAAAGGAAGTCAGGAGGGGATTTTTCCTGCCTCCCTGAGCTGGGACCTGTTTCCAGCCTCCCCCGTTTCTCAGGTTTCCTCCTTCTGCCTGGTAGCAAGAGGGTGAGAGATCACCTGCCTCTTTTGGTGCCTCCATTTGCTCCTTATGCTTCAGGGGTGCTAAGGTGCTACTCCACCGGTCAATTTTCCTTTCACACTCCCTAATATTTCTTAATCTTTCTACCTCTTGAGTTCCACCACCAGGCTGAGCAGGTCATCCAGCTGATGACAGCACACACAGGTGCTGTAACTGCTGTCCTCCAGCAGGATTGACCAGCTCAGGCACTCCCTGCAGCCTAGGACCTGGATTGCTGCATGTTTGCATGGCAACCCCATCTGGGTCACCACATTCTTTCTGGTGGTGGTTCTGATGCAAGTGGAGACCACAGTTCAGTCTACTCATGGAGGACGGTATGAACCAGCTCAGATAAGCTCTAGACCCAGGAGAGGGACTATGCCCTGTGAGCTCACCCTGACTGTGTGAACTGCCATGCCACAGCCTTCTGACACACCATGCCCTGTTTGCCCGTCCTGGTCACCACGCTCCTGGTAGCCGCCTCCCTGAAGAGTTCTTGTACAAGAGGGGCGCTGGGCGTCGTCACTCCAGTCTTTGCCCACTCTGAGTCCCTGCTGCCCTCGTTCACAGCTCAGTCTTCCCCCTCAGGGCAGGGGACGGCTTGAGGCACTCCCACTTCCCTGGGCTTCTGCCTTCTCGGCTTGTGGTTTTGCCACAGGTTTTTGACACACTCAGAAGGGTCCCCTACCGCTATCCTCCTCTTCGGAGCCCCCTCTCCTATACCCAGGTTTATATACTGAGAACATGATGTCCTATGGTATGGAATATCCCTTTGGCTTGTTCAGGTCACCTGTTCTGGCTATGCTTGCTCCCAGTTACTTGTGCATATGTTCACTGGCACTGGGAAACTGAAAATCCTTAATTTAGGATAAGTACTACTTAGCAACAACTAAAACAGCAGTGTGTTACCAATACTGTGCTCATACTATATACAAAAGCACTCTACCAGCTACTAGGAAGGAAATTAACTCACAAGTAATTATGAACAATACCGCATTCATATTAAGCCAGAAAGCGAGAGCACTTTGTGTAGGAATCAAAATAGAACAAATGACAATATTGTTCCATTCTAGAGATTAAAGCCACTGGTGGAATATTTTTTCTGCCATATTCTTACCCATTCCTGTGAACTAAACAGACCTTTCAAAGATTAACTGAACAATAAAGATGACAGTTATTTCTCTCATTACTCTGTCAGACACTGAAAAGCACTGTTCAACTAAGACTAATTATTTTGTTTCATTTACATAACTTTTATAACTGAAGCATACAAAATGAGTAATGACTAAATCCCATTAAAACTCACAGAGAAATTAAACAGGAAGTGCATACTTTGCTTGCTTTCAAGTCTGGAAGAAGCTAACAGATGTCAAGGAGTTGCAAATTCATAGCAAAGTTTGATCCCATATCTCCTCAATCACCTTCAAACTTCCTTTTAAATGTTGCTGGATAAGCAAGTAAGAAAATTTAGGAAAAAGCTGTGCTGCATTAAAGAGGCTGAAACAGTCTAGAGTGAATTTAGCTGCACTTCAGCTTTCATACTTACCCAATATACTGTAATGGGTGGCTCTGATGTATAACAATTCTACAGGTCGGACAAGTGTTGTTTTCCTCCAAATATTTCACTAGGCAGCTTCTACAGACTGATAACAATGACATTCATAATTAAAAAGAAATAAAAGAAGCATAATGAAGTTTGGTTTATACAGTCACAGAAATGCACCTTACTGAAGTTTACACGAAGTTAATTTTTTACATCATATAAGTGTGATGTCTAATCATGAAGAATACAGTTTTCAATATCTGTCACTAATGTTCTTGATACAGGGAAGTGATGCACCAGAATTAAGGCATCTGTACCTAGCATGAGTCTTCCCAATAAAGTATATAACACAGAATTCTACTCCAGAATTTACTAGAACAGCAGTTTCTAGCAGGTCAACATCATACTGATTGCATCATTCAGCTTGCACAAATGATATTACAGAAACTGTATGCCATTAAGATACTAAGCCTATTTGCCTTAACCATGGCCACATGTAAAAGCAAAGAGTTCAGTGGCAATGAACCCAACACAACAAGGTTATTTCAAAGTTGTATACTTAAAAGAACAGAAAACTCAAAAAATGGATATCCAGGTGCTATTTAGATTCTAACTTTCACAAAGTACACTACAGTTAAACTTCTACCAGAAAAAAAAAAAAAAAATTACCTGGGCACAGACCTTCAGTATTTGTAAAATGACCTAGTAGAAGTTGCTAATGCAATGAGTCGTTCATTATAAAGCTGCATAGTTTTTGAACTGTTTCCATATGCATATATATAATCATTTAATTCAAAGTAAACTATTTATACTAATGCCCACCCCCTTCCAGAAACAGTACTCTATTACACACTGCTACATGATATCCTGACACACTTGAAGTTCCAACTCAAAAATGGAGGGAAAAAAAAAAAAAAGGAATGGGGGAGGGGTGGGTGGGAAAAGTCAGAATTAACTTTTTCTTAAACAGCAACATTTCATGTAATCTTGGTAGTAATGCACTCATTCTTATCACATAAAATCACTGTAACTATAAGGCCATCAACCTCTCAGACAGGATGATAGTACAATTAAATAAACACCTGTTAATACAAAAAAAAATATGGATCAGCAAATGAAGCATAGCAAATCTACATTATTAATTGTATTTACACGCTTAGGATGACAGTACTGTTGCTGACAGAGGTTAGATCAAGCCTCGTAGCTTTGCACACTAAGCACAGATCTCACACAGCAGACTGTTTCAGTGGAGTGCCAGAGCAATAGATCCTTTTGAAAAGTGAATCCAAACCCCAGTCTTACCAAGTCAGTAGAAGCAGGGACAGGTATTCTGGGAAGAGTAAAGGGACAATGCCCAGTTGTGTAGGGATGGGGTCAGGAACACCAAGGCATGGCTGGAGCTGAACTTGGCAAGGAACGCAAAGAATAAGAAGGGTGCTTCTATAGGTATGTCAGCCAGAAAAGGAAGGCCAAAGAAAGTGTACCCACCCAATGAACATGACTGACAAACTGGTAACAATGGACAAGGAGAAGGCTGAAGTAATTGAGTATTTTGCCTCAGTTTTCATTGGCAATCTCTCTTCCCACCCCTCTCAAGTGGATGGACCTCAAGGCAGGGACTGGAAGATCAAAGTCCCTCCCACTATTAAGAGAAAATCAGGTTTGTGACCACCTAAGGAACATCAACATACATGTCTATGGGACCTGAGGACATGCATCCCAGAGTCCTGAGGGAACCGGCTGATGTAATTGCCAAGTCACTCTCCACAACAGTCATGGAAGTTAGGTGAAGTCCCCAGGACTGGAAAGAAGGAAACATTGCACCAGTATTTGAAAACGATATAAAGGGAGGATCCTGGGAACTACTGATCTGTCAGCCTCACCTGTGTATTTGGGAAATTCATAGAACAGAGCCTCCTAGAAGCTATGTTAAGGATGGAGGACAGGGAGGTGATCTGAAACAGCCAGCATGGCTTCATCAAGGCCAAGTCTTGCCTGACCAACGTAGTGGCCTTCTACAATGGAGTAAGTACATCAGTGGAAAAGGGAAGAGATTGGACAAGGGAAGAGATATGGATGTCAGCCAAGATATGGATGGACTTCTGTAAGGCCTTTGACACGGTCCCTCACAACACCCCTCTCTCTAAATTGGAGAGATATGAATTTGATGGATGGACTATTTAGTGGATAAGGAATTCGCTACATGGTCACAGCCAGAGAATAGTGGTCAACAGCTCAATGTCCAGGTGGAGATCATTATTGACTGGTGTCCCTCAGGGGTCAGTACTGGGACCAGTACTATTTATATAACAACAGACAGAGGGGGATAGAATACATCCTTAGCAAGTTTTTAGATATTACCAAGTTGAGTGCTGTGGTTGACACACCTGAGGGATGGGATGACATTCAGAGGGACCTGGTCAAGCTCAGTAAGAGAGACCATGTGAACCTCATGAGTTTCAGCAAGATCAAGTCAAAGGTCCTGCACCTGGGTTAGGGCAACCCCCAGTATCAATACTGGCTGGGTGATGAAGGGATTGAGAGCAGTCCTGCAGAGAAGGACTTGTAGTAGTGATGGGTGAAAATCTGGACATGAGCCAGCCATGTGTGCTTGCAGCCCAGAAAGCCAACTGTATCCTGGTCTGTACCAAAAGAAGCACGGCCATCAGGTTAAGGGAGGTGATTCTGACCCTCTACTCCACTCTTGTGAGCCCCCACCTGGAGTACTACATCTAGCTCTGGAGTCCTCAGCATATGAAAGACATGGACCTGTTGGAGCAGGTCCAGAGGAGGGCCAAAAAATGGTCAGAGGGATGAAACACCTCTCCGATGAGGAAAGGCTGAGAGTGTTGGGGTTGTTTAGCCTGGAGAAGAGAAGGCTCTGGGGAGACCTTACTGTAGTCTTTCAATACTTAAAGGGAGTTTATAAGGAAGATGGGGATGGACTTTTTAGTAGGACCTGTTGCAACAGTACAAGGGGTAATGGTTTTAAACTAAGAAAAGGTAGATTCAGACTAGATATAAGGAAGACATTTTGTATGAGGATGGTGCAACACTGGAACAGGTTGCCCAGAGATGCAGTAGATGCTCCATCCCTGGAAATATTCAAGTTCAGGTTGGACTGGGCTCTGAGCAACCTGACCTAGTTAAAGACTACTCCTCATTACAGGAGAGTTGGACTAGATAACATTTAAAGACCACATATTCAATGGTTCTATGATTCTTTCTGAAACAACATCCCATTTCAGTACATCTTTCAGTTTGGGCTAGATATACACTAACCCTTCCTAAACTGAACTCATCACAAGTCAGCTTCGGTTCTGGCAGGTTTGTTAGTCTAAGCACAGCATCCAAATAAATGTCATTAGATAGATTATGGAGGGTGCTGCAGTCTTCTAGTTTGGTTCCTTTTTCACAGGGTCAAGTTGGGATTAATAAATTTTCCTGAAACTGGAAGTCCTAGAAGCATGGGACAGCCCATATGGGAATCATTCTAGGCTCTGAAACAATAGTATTGCTAGAGTTTTTCTACTAACTGGGATATCCAAAGTCCCCGATCTCCATTTACCCAGATACTTGGGCGCTGATTGTAGGTCTGAACTGAGCTGTATATTTTCTCGTTACTTTTACAGTATGCTTAAACGCATCAGAGAATTTTCATTAGAAAAGGAACAGGCAAGGTTAATCCTCACTCTTTTTTTTTTTTTTTTAAAAACAGTTTCATTCCTCTTCACTTTTTTCATTTCTGTATCTAGCTGAAGAAATACAGTTGGTCTTTCACCATCCTCATGAACTTACAAAACAATATCTTTCATAAGATATAAGGATTATCCTTTCATAACACAAAAGGACAGCTTTCACACATAAACAGTAATGAAACTCAAATGAAACTCAAATGAAACTCAAATTACAAATGTAAAGGCTTAACAAGACCTGCATATATCTGCTAGCCTAGAATTCTAATCAAGAAACCACATGTAAACTAGGAAAGACTTATCAGTGAGTTACTACTAACAAAGTTTTTAAATTATAGGCCTGCCTGTCACCAATAAACTAAGGATATAGCAGAGAGCAAAAAAGTTTCTTTCCCCCTGAATTCTGTTTTACAAAATGAAGTTGGCCCTGTCCCTCCAAAGCACTAGCCATGGTCCTCCAAATGACTCTTATCAAAGGACTTGAGAGCTACATTTACTACTGAAGGGAAGAGTCTCTGAATGTCTAAAGGACAGAAAATTAAAAATAAAAAAATAAAAAAAAAAGAAAAAGATAAGAACACCATGCAGTTCAGCATAGAAACAGAGAAAATTTCAAAGTGCTGTAATTCAGCAGAGAATCCAGTATCTCAAAAGGCAGGTTACTTTCAGGATAGATTTTGCAAGAGTGCTTTTCCAGGAACATATATTATTAGCATTAACATACACAATACAAACACCACCAACATCTATAAAGTTTTTAAAACAAGACAAGGCTATGTGCCTCTACTCAGAAAACTGTAATTCTACAAGGCACACACTGAAGTAGTATTCTGAAAACATAAACAGCCAAAATAAGGGAGGGACAAGTCACAGGGAGCCAGTGAAACAGAAGCTAGAAAGGAGCGTTGCCTGGCTGTAGCATTGTGGATTAATCTAAAAACTTCCTCCATAAGCAAATGTAGGAAATGGTGTAGATTATGTTAGTGAGAGGGTTTTGTGGGTTTGGCTGGGTTTTTTTAAAGAACCATATCAGCCACATTAACTTATTACAATACTGGTTTTGTATATAATCATGTTAATAGCTGCAGTAAAGAATTTGCCACAGAACTAAGTGTAGCTTAAGGATCTCTATACTTCAAAAAGAACACTATGGAAATTAAGATGTGAAACAGATGCAGAATAATCAAAATGACATGGAAGTGTGACAAGAACAAACTCAAAGCTGATGAACAGAACTACTAAATGGAATACAATGGAAAAAGTAATATCTCACAAATCATGAGCACTTTGTTTCCCCTTTGTAAGATGTTTTAGGTGAAGACTAACTTCCCTGAGACTTTCATTTTATGGAGATGAAGTCACTGCCACAAAATAATTCTTCCCAAGAAAGTTTAGGATTATGAGTCATTAAGCTATTCAAACAACATAACTAACTTTATCAGAAGAAAAGTAAAATAGTGTGAAATAAGGGCCACATTAAAATATGGGATGTTTGAAGTTGCATGGCAAATACTATTTAATAGATTAATACAAGTGCATATAAACAAATTATATTCTAAGCTCTGATCAGATGAAACTGGACAAATAGAAGCTCCTGGGTGACACAGACGTGGGTAAATTGCAGGGATTCTGAATACACAGCTAGAAAAAATACTCTTAGTAAAATTGTGTAATGTAAGGTGTAAAGTCATTGATGTGGCTGCTACAGCAGATATTTAATGTCAGTACAGCAGGGCTTCTGGACTGAAGATTAATTCCTCATCTGATACCTACCTTGGCAAAGGAAACTGATAATCAAACAGATTCAAGCCAGAGAATAGTTCTGGAGTTACCACTTTGGACTATAAGGGTGCTTCTGCTAAGAAGGAATCTTTCCAGATCTTTAGTTGGAACTATGCTAATATGCAAGGTTTCCACGAGAATATTGCAAACCCTAGCACTTCTATATCCCATGATGTCAACAACAAAGATGCTGGGATGGACTTACATCCTCAGTTTTTTTGAAAAGGCTTTGCAAAGTTCTAGGGCATACTTCACCAACGTGAAACTAGAAATTCACAAAACAACATAACAACAAACAACTACCTCATCACAATGTTTTGTTAGCAAAAAAAGATTATTTCTAGGGTACAATACAATATATTTATTCTTTATTGATAAACTATGGCTGTTTTCTCCATAGGAACAGGAGATCAAGAGACATCTGTAAGGCTCCAGGTGGAGAACACCTGCTATGTCAACTGTCACAAAAGAGAGAACTAGCCATTCCACATCCCTTTACAGGAAGACAGACTGTATTCCTGAATGCATGATACCACTAATTGTATATGGCTTCATGTTTGTGTAGTACAACTTCAATGTTCTCTTCATTTACTTTATTAAAAAAAGTGAATAATCTGTTAAAAAAAGTGACGTCTATGCACAATTTTTTAAAATTTCAACTAAAACACATTAAAACATGTTGCACATCAAGTTAAAAAAACAAAACCAAACCCGATGTCTTTATCTTAATTATACTTCTACTTACAAGTATGTAAGCATTCTGTTACAGTAGTAGCATCAATCAGGTATCCACTGCACAGACGACAGGTTATATGGGCATTAATGTCCCAAAGTTTAATCTTTCTTGTTAGCATCTTTGGTGTCTGCAGAAAAGACATATCATAAAGTAACACAGCTGTAGCAATCAGGTAAAAATAATTTGTGAACAAAGATTAACTAGAATTAACCCTGAAGATATGTTCATACTGCTTTAGGCTCTCATATACTGTATGCATATACATGTGTGATACCACTAACTTTTAAGTGACTTCACAGAAGTGAAACAGTGTAAAACCCACAGCATTTTGCAAGTCAAAATTTCAGTGGCATAGAAAGTCTTTCTAGCATTCAGTCCCTTTATCAACCAACGCACTTGGATTTAAGGTGAACCCCTATTATTCTAGCAATCTAAGTCATCACATTCAGTTAATAATAGGGAAAAATTCACAAAAATTTGGAGAGAAAAAATACTCAAAACAATTTGAGAATCAAAAGCATTTTGATAATTTAAAAGTCGAAATAACAAAGTCTAATTTGGCATAGTCAGTTTAACCACACTTTTAAGTGTGCCTTTTTCCAGTATGGTTAAAGCATAATATTGAAGCTGTGTCTCAATAACAGAGTTGGAAAGTATACCTTCTGAAATCTCATTTTATTTAAAATCAATTAAAGAACACATTACAAACTAAAATAGTCTCATTGGCAGAGTTGTAGTTTGTTGTATTAAGAAACATGAACTAGAAATTTGAGCTAGAAAATTCTTCTCTCTTCAGAGCAAGAGATGGCATAACCACTACTAAAAGGAAGAAAAATCAGAAATTAAAAATTAAACAGCTCATTTAACTATTTTGCAGCAACCTCAATTGCTTTTAGAGAAAACACCACACAAAGCCTATGCCTTAACAAACTGTTACCTTCTAACTACAGCTATATTTTATTTTTCACAATATATTGAAATGAAAATGGTACTGATACCATAAGTGGAAAGCATTCAATTAACAGAACAGGCTAAACTGGCTTACAACCTATTACATTTGATTGCCACATTGCAGAAATCACACCCTACACTGTTTTCCATTAAAGTGACTTTATTTCCCTGGTTTACAAATATTCATTTTCATTTAACTTATTTTTTAATATATTTCAAAATATGAACTGTGACATGTTTCCCAAATTTTACGTAGAACTATCGTAACCAGGTTATCTGATCTTTAATTTACTTTGTTATGTACTTTTTCTATTTAATGAAGTGGTACTAAGCAAAAAGAACTATCAAAAGGCACATGTTCACACTGATCTGAACTATACCAGCACTGAAAAAGTACTTTATATTCCGTTACAATCTATGGAAAAGCACACCCATTGTCCTATATAAAAATGTCTAAGACAACTTCAAGATCTCATGGCTAAAAAGTAAATGACACAAAAATCAAACTTTATAGTATCTGACATTTCTTAATTTCTTAATTAAGCTAGTGACTAGCCATTACAGAATGAATGAATGAATGCAGAATGAAAATGCAACTTGGTTTTGCCACACACAAGATAGTTCAGAATCTCTGCTAGGAAACTGAATTACTTTTCTAAATCATATTTTATAGATTTATCTCTAACCAACTGAAAACCAGCCACATATTAAATCCTGGAAATTAGTGCATGTGGTCTCCAGCTAAAGAAGCTACTGCAGAAAGTAAGTACATTTCTATGGCACAGGGGAAGAGATATTTAATATCACTCTTCATGTGACTCCAGGAAATGACTTAAAACCACTAGTTAAAAAGAAAGCCAGGACAATGGAAAACATAATTCATGACTGGCAAAAAAGAAATTAAACTAAGGATACTTAAAAAGACAGTATCAGTACAATTCCAGTTACTTGCCTAGGCAGAAATTCAGAAAAATGTGTTCAGGATCACCACAGACTGAATCCAAGTTCTGATAAGGCAGAAGAGCCAAAGATATTACAGTGAATTTTTTTTTTTTTTTTTCTAGAAAAAGCATGACCATTTTTCCCCACTACACACACAGTAGAGTCAAGCACTGCCACTAGGAAAAAACACCTGCAATTAACAAAAACCAGTTCAGATGGTATATAACATTATGAGAACAATGAATAAACCATACAGTGAAGAAGGTAGAAATAACACTAAATAGTAATAAAGCCCATTGTGTCAAAAAAAGGGCATAGCAAAGGTAATACACACTCCACTGACTGAATGGAAAACAAAATCATGCACTTTTTGGCAATGGAAAAAATACATGCCTTCTAGAATATCCAGAACAAGCTTGTCAAATCAACCTTATGAAAATTTTATATACCTTTCAAGAATGACACAAAAACCCTCTCATTAGATGTCTGAAGTACAGCAACTGGGAACTATTGGAAGAAGCAGCAGAATGGGAACAGGTTTTTCCAGGTCATTAGACACCTCAGTTACAAAACAAGACAAAGCCTCCCATAGAAGATTTCTCCAGAAGGCAAGGCCCACGCTGCTATCTTGCAGCTGCTAGAACAAGAGACTGATCTCTTCTCTGCATATGCAAACGCCCAAACATGGTAGCTGCAACACAGATTCAATCTCCAATAAGCAATGCAACTTTCAAGGCCTGTAAGCAAGCTGTCAGTGTTGGACTTCACTTTATCTCGCATCTTGTGTAATTGATACCTGTGTCCTAATCTCAGCAAAAATAATTGGAATGCCTCTCATTTTTCAAAACAGTTATTGTATAACAATAAGAAGCCTTAATAAAATAAGTTGAAAAAAAATTTTTAAAGGCCAGACAAGTTCCTATCTATTTAGAAAGGAAGGGAGGAGCTAGCAACAAAATGGTGTATTACCAAGATATCAGTTCAGTTAGACAACATATTTAAAGACTCAGACTTTAAAGACAACTTTAATTGCTTCCCAGAGGGAAAGAGAAAAAAAAAAATTTAGCAAAACAACAGATATATATAAGGAAGAAACAGAAGGACTATCATTGCAGCCTCATAAGAAATTAAAATTCATTAATAACAGCAACAAATTAAAAACATAAAGTAATTCCACATTCGTCAGCTGTCTGTTTTGTATCACTTCAGAGGAAAGTAGAAAACATAATTGCAAATTTTGCCACCAACATTTTTTAATCATTATTAATGTATTTGAAAAGGATGCACAGTCATACTACAGAATACGAAGTTAAGCTAATATTCACAATACTTAGGAATAAATTCTGCATGTGGGTAGAGGCTAATATAGGACGACTTCCACATCCCTAATGGGAATATGTTAACGACTGTCAGCTCAGAAGGGATACTAGTCTATTTGAACCACACATCTGCTCTTGGTAAGGAGTCCCAACATTTCCATGTTCCTACAGCCAGCTGCCAAACAAAAGTTAAAAGTCACATTAATCATATAAAACCGTCAGGTTCTTAACACCCCACCAAAAAAACAGACGAAACATACTTTTCAAGTAAGCATACATACACTGAAGTACACTGCTGTAGGGGAATAAGTGTGGATTAGATCTGAAGATAGAAGCAAACAGAGGGTACAAAAAATTTCTAAGACATGATGACAAGCATATTATATCATAAATCTCCAAGCCCTATTTCTATGTCATCTTAACTCCATCTTAATTATTATAGAGTACCCACTATTTCAGCATTACAAGTACAGTAATGAATTAAAAATCTATTTATTAAGTATTTAAGATTATATATCACTCTAATCTGCTTGCAAATTTCAGTTGAAATAATGAGTTCATCAACCATGCAACTGAAAAACCTAGTTAATTTTTTTTTAACTGCTAGGCTCCCATGAAAGCAAGGATGACATCTATCTTGATAAAATGTCAGTATCCTTCAGAAGTTTAAGTATCTGTTATTATTTAGGTAGCACTCTCAAAGAGCTACTTCTATCATACTAGTATGTAGTAATATAAAGAAAGGAGAAAAATCATGTTTAACAGCTGCTGGATGTCTCTTAACAATTCTGAATGAAATTACATTCTGCTTAGACCACTGACACTTTCTGTACATACAACTAATCCATGTTAGTAATCTCATACAAATTGAAACTATACAGAAAACTTAAGTTTACTAAGATCCACGAAGATTAGCCAGACCAGCCTGGTTTTGTATTTTCTAGGCAAATTCACGTTTCCCTTTAATAAACCTCGAGTTGACACAGCGCTTAGGGATATGGTGTAGTTAAGAACAGTCAGTGTTAGGTTAATGGTTGGACTTAGGTGATCTTCAAGGTCTTCTCCAACCTAGAAGATTCTGTGACTCAAACACCTCCAGGGATGGGGACCCCACCACCTCCCTGGGCAGCACATTCCAATGCCTAACAACCCATGCTGGAAAGAAATGCTTCCTAATATCCAGTCTAAACCTTCCCTGGCACAGCTTGAGGCCATTCCCTCTTGTCCTATCGCTTGGTTATTTGGTTAAAGAGACTCATCCCCAGCTCTTTGCAACCTCCTTTCAGGTAGCTGTAGAGGGCGATGTGGTCTCCCCTCAGCCTCCTCTTCTCCAGACTAAACACCCCCAGTTCCCTCAGCCACTCCCTGTACAACCTGTGCTCCAGACCCTGCACCAGCTTCGTTGCCCTTCTCTGGACACGCTCGAGTCATTCAATGTCCTTTTTGTAGTGAGGGGCCCAAAACTGAACACAGTCATCGAGGTGCAGCCTTACCAGTGCCGAGTACAGGGGTAAGATCCCTTCCCTGTCCCTGCTGACCACGTTATTGCTGACACAAGCCAGGATGCCATTGGCCTTCTTGGCCACCTGGGCACACTGATGGCTCCTGTTCATCGGGCTGTCAATCAGCACCCCCAGGTCCCTCTCTGACTAACAGCTCTCCAGCCACTCCTCCCCAAGCCTGTAGCGCTGCTGGGGGTTGTTGTGGCCCAAGGGCAGCCCCCGGCATTTGGCCTTATTGAAACTCCTCCAGTTGGCCTCAGCCCATCTCTCCAGCCTGTTCAGGTCTCTCTGCAGAGCCTCCCTACCCTCGAGCAGATCAACACTCCCACCCAACTTGATGTCATCTGCAAAATTCCCTTTGAAAAAGGAAATGAGATTTTTTTTAATCTGAACTCAAGGTGGTATCTTCCAGAAATCCCATCTTCCCATCTCTCACAGAGTGATATGTTGAAAAGAAAGCTAAAAGTTAATTCAGAAACTTCCAAAGCAAGTTATCTAATCTTAAAAAGATAGACAACTGAAATGCAAAACTGTCTGTGAATACACATTCCCAAGCAAGCTTGCAGTTTAAGAGCATGGAAATGTTCAGACAACTGGATAAAGCATTGAGCAACCTGGCCTGACCTCACAGATTACTATATACTTGAAGCATTTGGATTACAAAATCTTGTGATGTCTTTTCCAACTTGAATTATCCTATAATCCTAAGAACCTGCTACACTATTGCACTACCTTCACCTAGCCATGTGACAGACAAGGTGAATTTCTTACTGTTTTGACTGCTCTCAAGTTTTAAACAATTCTTATCCAGTCATAATCATACAGACATCAATTCAATTAAGTTAGCATGAATTCTAAATCTAAAATTGATTGCTTTAAAAAGAAAAGTGACAGAATCAGGTTGAGGTTAAATCATACACACCAGCTCAAAGTAATAATAGGAGGGGATAAGTCTATTGTTCCAAAACACCACCCAGGTTGATGTCTTCTTGCAGAAAATGTTAAAAATCAAATCAAAACAAAAATCTATCTCCAAACTGAAACTTTGTTAGAGCGACTTTATGAACTCACTAGACTGCACAAGATTAATTATAAAAATACAGCCTCTACAACAACCGAGACTATTTGAATTTCCCTCATTTTGTAATGTGACCCATCCATCACTGTGTGGAAGATGCATGCTCAAGAACTCTGAATCTTTCACAGGGTCACAGCCAAGTTCGGAAGCAGAAGTCTCAAAGTTATCATCCTATATAAAAGCAAGCAACTTCAGAGGACAGAGCAGAATCTGAATATTTACAATGTCATTTTCCGAACCCAAACAGCTCCTTTTTCACTGTTGAACACTGCAAACCGTAGGCTCCCATCAGACCTCTATACAATTAGTATACAACAGAAATATCATGCCTTCATTTAGCTTTTAGAAAGCCAAAGCCAAGCAAGGTAAATCTGTAGGACGCAGCAGTTCATTAGTTCTTCTACATGGAGTTAGCTGCTTACCAGTAACCTACTACAGCAAGCAATCTCACATAAACTGTAAGAACTGTACATAACTTTCGGAGAACTCTCATTGCACTGACTGAACAGTGACATCTGAATAAAAAAATAAAACAAACACACCCCCCCCCCC